ACTGTACCCCACAAAACCAAAAAAAAAAAAATTAAAAAAAAAAAAAAGAAAAAAAAAAAAAAAGAAGCACTGAGCCGGGGTTGGTGGCTCAGCCTGTCATCCCGCACCTTGGGAGGCTGAGGTGAGTGGATTGCCCGAGCCCGCGGGTTCAGGACCCACCTGGACAACTTGGCGAGACCTCATTTCTACAACAAATCAAAAACTAGCTAGGCGTGGTAGCACGCGCCTGTAGTTCCAGCTACTTGGAAGGCTGAGGCGGAAGGATCGCCGGAGTCCAGCAGGTTGAGGCTGCGGTGGCCGGGAGCGGCCACTGCCCTCCAGTCTGGGCGACAGAGTGAGACTTCCACTCAAGAAAAAAAAAGAAGCACTGAACTTGGTTGTTTACTGCTTCCCGATGGCTGAGGGGACATGCATACAATGGTGGCTTGAGCTCCCTGATCAGCCTCCGAGAAAGAACCCAGAAGACAGGAGTAGAGAGGCCTGTGGCTTTCTATTGTCAGGGAGCAGCAAAGTTCTCAAGCAAAAGCATTCTTCAGAAACCCTTGGGTAGGCTTTTTTTTCTGTTCTAAACAATCATTCAGTCAAAATATAGATGCTTGGCCCCCATCCCAGGCCTGCCAGTAAGAACCTCCAGGGCTGAAGAGTGAGCATGCTTTAAATGTCCCACAAAGCATACAGATTAAGGACCACAGACAGCCTCTCAGAGGCCAAGGGTCCCCTGAGGAGTCCTGCCTGTCAGTGGGTGTCCCCAGAGAGCACGACAGCAGAGGGTGTGTTAGTTACCAACCCATGACAAGCGATCCCCATCCCCCAGTTAGGTGGCTTAGAATGTCTAAACATCCATTATCTCACAGTTTCTGGGGGCACTGCATTTGGGGGGACTTAGCTGGGGGGCTCTGGCTCAGGGCCCTTGGCAGCTTGCAGGCAGGACATCCACTGGGGCTACAGGATCTGAAGATCCGGCTGGGCTGAGACTCCACCGCCACGTGTCATCCTCACAGGGTTGTAGGCTGGAGGCCTCAGCTCCCCGTCCCATGGGCTTCTCCAAGGACCGCTTGGGTATCCTGACATGGTAGTTTGTTTCTTCCAAAGAAAAAGAAAAACTGCTTTGCCTGGCTTTCAAAGCCGAACATCATGACTCTTAATTTATTCCTCTTGTTAGAAACGAGGCACTACACCGATGCAACCTCAAAAAGAGGAGAGTTAGGGTCCACATGGTATAAGGAAGAGTATCAAAGCAATTATAGACATTCCTTAAAACCACCACAGAAAAGTGGTTTTACATGAAAAAAGCTTTGGAAAGAGCTGTCTCCAAGTGCAGCGGGAGAGTGTTGGGGACAGTAAACCAGCACCTCATACGAGCTTGCAGATATGGATGAAGAGGGGGAGGATTCTTCATTCTAAGCTCTGGCTCTGGATTATGAGACACACAGTGGACTTGGGTCGGGTCAGTGACAGGAGGGAGACAAGAACCAGCCTCCATCACAGCAGAAGCACAAAAATCGGAAATAATGGTGGGTTAAGGCTTGTTGACTGACCTCTCCCTCCTCTCCCTCAACCCAACAATGTC